TGCTCTCTCCCCCCCTTCCTCCTCGTTTTGAGGTTGTTTTGGTTTTTTTTTTTTCCTTTTTCTCACCCATCATCTCCGCGGAGAGGGGGAGCAGGAGGAAGCCCCCCCTGAGGAGTGTGGATGTTGGCGGGGGGGGAAACCACCATCCGTCCGGGTGTAGGTAAAAGGTGTCGTTCTCCATTTCATCTTCCCATGCATCGGCTTCATCTTCATGCCGGGATGCTGGCAGGGCTCAGAGGAGCAGGATGCCGCGCCGTCCGGGGTTGAGCTCGCCGGCGTCATATGCCTGCTCGCTAGCCGAATGAATGCCTGCTGGCGGTTCAATATTTATCATAAGCCGAAATCTAGCTAGTGGTGCTTGAATCCCTGTACTGTAAAGCTGGTCTTTCAATTCAGGCTCTTTTCCCAAGAGGTTGAGAGGTGGGCACCGCGGAGGAGTCCCCCCCGGTCTCGTCTGCCGGCCCCGGTGGCCCGCGGCGAGCGAGCAGATGTCCCCGTTGGAAAGCCGTCAGCCTGCTCTCATTAGCAGCCCTCGCCGTGTCTTCCTTCCCCACGACAGGTTTTCCTCCTCGATAGGTGTGAAAGCACAAACACCGGCATTGCATCTCGGGGCATCGGCAGCTCGCTGCCAGTTCATTTTTAGGGTGCCCTAAGGGAGCCGGGCTCTGGTCAAACACCGGCATTGCATCTCGGGGCATCGGCAGCTCGCTGCCAGTTCATTTTTAGGGTGCCCTAAGGGAGCTGGGCTCTGGTGTGCCCTTTCTGCTAATCCCAGCAGGAGCCGGGCTCCTGGGGATGCTCTGGAGCTGGCAAGGTGTCCCTGGGAGAGCTCAGATGGCCTCAGGACCGGTAGGAGGGTGGCTCCGCGGCAGCCCAGGACAGAGGAGTGGGACACCGCCGTTTCTCGGCAGAATCAGCCCAGAATAGTGCCTTAACAATTTGAATAAACCCCTGACTGATGGGTGAGCTCCAGGTTGGGTCCCATTGCAAGGTTTAGAGCTAAAGCAAGACTGCATTCAGCCTGATGATGATGTCCCATCCTCCAGCTTGTTGCCCGCATCGCTCTCCCAAGCTTTACCTCCCCATGGGGTTGGCAGCTGTTGCCCTGCCCTGGCTTGGGGGGACCAGAGGGGACCAGTGAGGGCTGTGGTTGGTTTGGTGACGCCCCGCGGTGTTGGTTAGCGCTCCTCTGACCGTGTTGTGTTTGTTGAAGTTGAGCTGGTCTTTGGCTTCACTTATTCAGGCTGGTTTTGTGCCAGCGGAGGAGGAGGAGAAGAGGAAGGCTTTGCCGTTACCTTTTTGTTGGATGCTGGGGTCCGAGCTGGGTCTCTCGCTGCTGTGCTCTGCCCCGGGGTGTCGTGTGTTGGCCTGACCGTGGCTGTGTGGTCTCCCTGCCTAGGGAAGTGTCCCCTTTGGGGTCAGGGAGAGCTGGGAGCGCTGCAGGGGCTGCAGAGCATCCAGCACGGGCAGAGAGGTGCCGGCCAAAAGGTGGCACAGCTGCATTGCAGCTGATGCCTTGCTCCCAAGGCCAGCACTGTGGATGCCTGCGGACGTGGGTCAGGTCACAGAGGTGGTGAGCAGGTTGTTGGTAGGCAAGAAGGAAGAGAGGACATTGAGCAGGCTGCAGGAGCCCCTTCCCATTTGCACCTCAGTCTGGGTGATAGCAGGGTGCTGGTGACAGTAAACCACGTCTGGCTCTGCAAGAAGTCTTGGTGCTTCATCTCCTGGACCAAATCAGCAAAGCACTTGGGCAGTGTTGAGGCTGTCCCTGCAGAGCCGGGAGGATTCAGCCACGTGCTCAGGAGGTTTGCTGACCTGGGACATGCAGGAGCATTAGCCTGATAGGGACGGGACAGGGGAGCACCCGCTGTTCTCCTGAGCGCTGTTTGAGGTGATGGGTTAGGTGACTGATGTCCCCTCCTGCTGAGTGGTGCCCCTCATGCCTGATGTCTTTTGGAAAGCTGGCTGCTCTTGTGGTTGTTAGCATGTTGGAGCAACAAATTGCTTTTCATCCTTGTGTTGTCTGGGATCCTGTGGACCCCCAGCACCGCAATCAGTACCAGTGAGCTCACCCTCATCTCCATCTGCTTTGAGCAAAGGGAGGATGCTATGGCAGAGCTGCCTCGCCATATTGATCTTCTCAGATAGGTACCAAAGGCTTCTCTGCTCTCCCTCCTCCATGACCCTGGGGCTTATTGGGATGGTGCAAAGCCTTCTCAAACACACACCTGTGAGGGATGTGGGCACTCAGCTCTTGGGGCCGTTGGCTTTCTGAAGGGACCATGACCCAGACTGGAAGACGATTGGTTTAGAGAAGCCTTCAGTGATACCCTTGGAGGTGTTGGAGGGCCTCAGTAGAGTGGTCCATGCTGTCTCCTCCTCCGCTGCCTCCCAGACCCCATCCCCTCGGGCTCCCTTGCATTTCTTTCCCCTCACACAGCCTTGACATGGGATGGAAGTACTGCACCCTGAGGAGGACTTACCTTGCCTGTAGGATCTTCTGTGATGGAGCCTATCAGCCTGCCTGGCTGGTAGTCTTCTCCCCCCCAAGCAAGCTCCCACGCCAACATGTGCTCCCTTGTACTTGGAGGTGGCTTTCCCTGTCCCTGTCCCAGTTCATCCTTTCCCGGTGAGGACCTGTCCCGCTTGGACGTCACTGCGAGATGAGAGCTCCTCATTGAGGCTAGAAGCCCAGTGGAAAGCCCAGCGACTGATCCCAGCTGCGTCCGATGCCCTTCGAGAGCCTGCCCGGAGAGCCACTTGGAGACGTCGAGATGTGACCATGCACACAGCACTTTGGAGAACCAGATCCCTGCTGCTCCCTCCCCTCTCCAAGGCCTGGGCAGTTCCCAGGAGTCCTACATGGCCTCCGAGCCCTTTTGTCTACACCCTTGCTCGGCCCCGATGTGTCTCTTCATGTCTGGTTTTCATTAATGTACTAAGAGCTCAAACGAGTCGCTCCCGCAGTGTCTCGTCCCGCATCCATCCCAGTCAGCCCCGTTGGCACCCGTTGGGTTAGACGAGGCAGGAGGTGGGGGAGTTGGGTCCGTTGTTTTCAAGCTTTTTATATTTTATTTTATTTTATTTTTTTAAATTTTTTTTTGTTTAACTCTTGCACCTTAATCTCTCACATCCCTTCTTCGACAGACTGCGAGGGTGGAGAGGGGCTTGATTTCCATTACGCAGTTCATAAATATGCCGCAACGCAACGTTCAGCTGACAACTCTGCCCACGCGCCTAACCCCAGACCTCTCCGGGTTTGAATTTTTTTTTCCCCCTTCATTTGAACTCTGGGGAGGGAGGGAGTCATGTGGGGAGGGTCATTTTTGGTTTATATATCCCAGGAGCCTGGTAGCACAGACCAGTTAGCCTCATAATGTCCCTGAGGCATGGCTGGCCCTTTGGACCACAGCCATAACCCCAGCGCGGTGGGAAGGTGATGGATGGCCGGCGGGTGGGAACAGCTGTGACAGTGCAATAGAGACGAGCATCCGCTGCTAGACAACTCCACTGATTAAACTCTTGGTTTGCCCGAAGTCGAGAGGGCAGGATGGACGGACAGACGCCCTTTGTTCACAAGGACGGAGAGAGCTTCCCCACACGCAGCCCTGCCTAGTGATACATAACCACGATGGGAGTTGGGTCGAACTTGCAAAGGAAGAAAATAATAATTAAAAAAAAGGAAAAAAATAGGAATAAGAACAACCTCAGTAGCATGGAACTTAAAGGAAATGAATGAAACCCCAAGCACTTGCCTCAAAACTAGTTTCTCATGCCTGATGTTCGGCTCTGTATTATTTTATGGCATTCAGTATCGGTTGCCCAAACATGCCAAGTTAAGAGTGTATCGGTGGCTCTACTAGTGTGAACAAACTAAATGAAGCACTTTATTCTGTATAGATAAGGGAAGGCGGGGAGGGGAAGCTTGGATGCTTTTCGGAAGCGTCTTAAGTAATGTTCTAGGAAATGTATTATTATTATTACTTTTTTTTTTATGACCATGTGTAATCAATATATGTTTATCTTTAACTCCAAGTACAGCAGTTACTCTCTTTGGGATGGTGTGACGAGGGGGAGGCTGAGATGGTCAGGTTAGTGCACCATGGGGCCAACTGGGGCAAGTCATTGCCTACCGCAGGAACGGGCGAGTCTTGCTTTGTTGACGGGCCCCATTGGCCAATGCCCAGGAGGTCCCAAGAGGTGCATCAAAGCTGCCTTCCAGGGCACAGCTCACAGTCAGCCTTGGCACCAAAGGCCCAACATGCATCCCCATCCCGAGCCATCTTCTGCCTGGGGGTGCCGGGGCTGCTCTCTGGGCCATTCATGAGCAAGACGAGTCACGGTAGGCTGTTTTGTGTTGTCCCTAGAGGCCAGGTCCTTGGCCATGCTTTGAAACCTGCTTTTGGCCTCTCACCAAGGCATGTCAGGGGTTGCTGAGCTCTGAAAGTGGTGAGAGGTCAGAATTGGGCCTTTCCACTGCGTTCTCCCAGTCTGGAAGTGTTATGACTGTTACCAAAGAGGTTGCAAGTGAAAGGACTGAATCAATAAACGATTTGTCTTTTATAAAAGAAAACCTAAAGCTCCACCACTTTCTTTGTTACCTTAGTTTGCTTTTTTTTTTTTTTTTTTTAAAGTCTCTTTTCAGGCAATCGTGTGAGGAGTCAGAGCCTGGCAGGATGGGCTTCCCATGGCATGTTCACCGCTGCCTTTGCTTCACACATACAGCCTTTGCGTTGGGTTTGGTGGGAGGTGTGTGCATGTGTGTGAGACAACTGGACTGCTGTGGGGCCAACAAAAAATAGCTTTTCAGGGAAGGGTGATGAGTGGGTGGAAGAAAGGGCTTGATGAGGGCTGAGCTCCTGGGTCTTACTGGCTCCATGAGATTTGTGTGAGCTATGAGCTGGGCTCCCTGAGCTCCTGTGTAAGCAGTGGAGAAACCAAGAAGCCCATCCAAAAGCACCCAGTGCCTTTATTGATGTAAAATGGAGCGGTGGGAACCTCGCCAGCTAACGTCAGCACTGATACTGGGAAGCTAATGGAAGAAGAGAGGATTTTCCCCCACCCTTGGGATGTACTTGCTCCTTTGCTGCTGGCATTGCCCAGAGAAGATACCCACAGGGGACCTGTGCCACTGGAACTATGTGCACCTGAGCCGGGAAAACGCCAGGCAGCAGTGAGGAGTGATGCCTCTCTGAGTATTCCTGTTGGCATTTCTTATCTGTGATTGCCTTTGGACTGAAGCAGCCTCTTGGCAAGGTGGTGGTGAACGTCTCTGGGCCAGACTTTCGCTCGGCGATGTGCAACTTTGCTGCCTTCCTTGGGCCAATGCTGGCTTGCACGCACTGAGACTTG